CAAGGTTGAGACAGGATGTTGGCCCCACCTGTTGGATGTAGTCAAGCTGTACATCTAGGCGCAAAAATGCATCAGTGTTGATGTGATATGCACATATATGAGATCATAGTTAATGGATTTTATGCAAAACAGCAGAAATATTATTGTAGCTGACACAAATCTAGACTAAACTTCAATCACAGGTTAATTAAGAGCTTTTTAATTTGACTCTGCTATTATTGTTTGCATAACCCTTATAGATAAAATGTTTTTGACTTGAGATATAAAATCAGATAAACTGATTGACACGTCTTCCTAACTATAGGAAGCACCCACAAGGGCTGGATGGACCAAACACCACACGCACACCACTGACTCCTGGAAAAGACGGTGGGCCACCGTGCAGCACAGAAACACATGAGGTATGAACTGCAGGCCGTAAGCAGCAGACTTGTGTGCACGGTTTAAGCCTGAAATCAGCCAGTGTCATCTGCTGTTTAAAGGTGAAAGTGAATAAATGCCAGGCTTCACCTCCGGGTTCTCAGATCAAAGTAGTTTCTCGACTGTTATGAAGAAAAAGCAACAGTTAGCTGTCTGGTCACTTGAGTCAAAGTCAGTGAAAGATTTTCAGTCTGGAGTTAAAGACACAGAATGAATCCCCCCTGAATCCCCCCCCTGGTCTTAACGCCTTTATTGCATTATAAATCCTGCCTGAATTCTATACTACACGTCCACATAGGGCACTTGCACCTTGCTGCCCCCTGTCCCAGTGTAGCGAGGTGGAGCTCATGGACACTGGAAACACATAATCTGCTTTGATATGCAGCCACATCCAAAGATGGCCTCCTGCTTTCATCATCGCTCATCTTTATACATTTCCCATCTAGAAGAGCATAGTACTTTAAGATTATATCACCGTGTGTGTGTGTGTGTGTGTGTGTGCATGAAAAGCGGTGAGAGGCCTGAAGGATAATATACTGTTGACTCAATGCAATGAGTTCCTTGAAAACTTTTTTATGGGGTGGATGATGGAGGACGAGGCCTTGGGAGTTGAAGAGTTGTCAGCAGTGGCTCTGGGAACGAGTTTGGCTTTTATAATCTGGTGTGTGTGTGTGTGTGTGTGTGTGTGTGTTTTGTGTGTGTCTGGACACTTCCAAGCTTTGAAGCACAGAACATTGAAAGGCACTATGAATTATTCATCCTACAGGGCCTGCTTTGGTAAAATAGAAAATACAGTTTCAGGGATTTCTACATTTTCTGCAGAAACAATTCAACTGTTTTTTTGGTGGGGGCTCATTTTGGTAGCTTGTGTCCTTGTCCGTGTCCAGCGTCGTGACTCCACTGAGCACATCCAGGAGTATTACAGACAGCGGCTCCGCGTGCAGCAACATCTGGAACAGAAGCAGCAGCAGAAGCAGCTTTACCAGCAGATGCTGCTGGAGGGGGGAGTGAAGCCCCAGGATGGAGCCCAGCACAACCTCACAGAAACCTTCCTCAGCAGGTGAGGGTGTCATTCCTACAGGATTTGATGTCAGCGAGGAATAAAACGCAAGCCGGGTGCTACGACAGAGCTTGTCTTTGTCTAGATCCATCCAGAAGTTGGAAGAGATGAATGTGGGCATCGACCACCGTGGAGACGACATGATGGCGCAGCTGGGCCAGCAGTGGAACGGGCTGACGGGGAACAACAGCACATCTAGCCCAAGGGTGCCTCACACCCGTCACACCCCAGATGAAGGACCGCCGAGGGACAAGCCAGGTGGGGTGAGCAGCAGCACGCCAGTAAGCACCGGGAGCCACAGCTTGCCATTGCTCAGTGAGTCCCCAGTTCCTCCCAATAAAAGGTAAGAGCCTCCTGCTTTTGGTCTCCACCGAAACATCTTAACTTGTTAGAAGTTAGGCTCACATTTTGCTGGTGTGTAGGGAATGCTTTTAGTGACTGTTCAGCTGCTAATTAATTGAAATAGAACATGTATCAAAAAGAAGAATCAGATTTTAAAAGGCTATGTTTGCTATGTTTAATGCAGCTTTCCTCATAGCCAGCATTTGCTAATTATTATCAAATATTTGAAACATGTCACTCCGAGCTCTTATTGATGGGAACCAAAAAAACCCCAATGTTTATGACTTGTTTATGCATCGTTCTGTTTTGTGCTCAAAGAATCACTGGCGCTGGTCCTACAGTCCAGGATGACTCCACAAGCTCTGCAACACGTAGCACACATGAGGTATGTAAGCACGCTCTGTTGAGATTTAACTTCCATACATTCCACATACAGTGGTATGCAAAAGTTTGGACACCGCTGATAATTTTCATGATTTCCCTTCATAAATTCATTGGTTGTTTGGATCAGCAATTTCATGTAAATATATCATATAGCAGATGAACACAATGATATTTGAAATGAAGTTTATAGGATTTACAGAAAGTGTGCAATAGTTAATTAAACTAAATTAGGCAGGTGCATAAATTTGGGCACCCCAACAGAAATCTTCCATCAATATTTAGAAGATCCTCCTTTTGCAGAAATAACAGCCTCCAAACCTGAACACTTCCTATAGCTTCCAATGAGAGTCTGGATTGTGGTTGAAGGTATTTTGGACCTTTTGTCTTTACCTGACCACTTCAGTCAGGTATGATGGTTTCTGAGCATGGACAGCCCACTTTAAGTCACACCATAGATTTTCAATAATATTCAGATCTGGGGACTGAGATGGCCAATCCAGTACCTTGTACTTGTTCCTCTGCATGAATGCCTTAGTGGATTTTGAGCAGTGTTTACGGTCGTTGTCTTGTTGAAGTACCCAGCCCTAGCGCAACTTCAACCTCAAGAGACACTGTTTGTGGCATGTGTTTGTGCCATCCTTCGCCTCTGCTTATCTAAGATTTTTCTTGACCTGTCACTTCCGGCCTTAACTTAAACTGTGCCTGTGGTCTTCCATTTCCTCGCTTTGTTGCTCAAAGCGGAAACTGACAGCTGAAATATCTGAGATAGCTTTTTGTATACTTCCCCTAAACCGTGATGTTGAACAATCTTTGTTTTCAGGTCATTTGAGTTGTTTTGAGGCTCCCATGTAGCCACTCTTGAAAGAAGTATTGGCCACCTTAAATGCCCTTTCTCATGACTGGATTCACCTGTGTATGTAGGTCAAGGGTCAGTGAGCTTACCAAACAAATCTTATGTTCCAATAATTAGTGCTAAAGGTATTCAAATCAATAAAACAACAAGGGTTCCCAAATTTATGCACCTGCCTAATTTAGTTTAAGTTACTATTGCACACTTTCTGTAAATCCTAAAAACTTCATTTCACTTCTCAAATATCATTGTGTTCATCTGCTATATGATATATTTAAATGAAATTGCTGATCCGAACAACCAATGAATTTATGAAGGAAAATCATGAAAATTATCAGGGGTGCCCAAACTTTTGCATACCACTGTGAATGCTTAAACAAAGCTGCAAACTTCATGACACTGTTTGTTTTGTTTTGTTTTTATCTTCCTGTGAAGCCCGCAAAGTGCAAAACACAGTTTGTTAAGGTGAGCCAGCTCGAGGACACACAGGCAGTGCGCGCAGTGGCCTTCCATCCCGCCGGTGCGCTGTATGCCGTCGGCTCCAACTCAAAAACCCTGAGAGTGTGTGCCTACCCGGAAACACTAACTGCCAGGTGGGAGCGGCTTACAGGGACCTACAAATCCACACTGTGAGATATTTAATTTGTAATTGAAAGCCACAGAGATACATGTCATTTTTGTATCTCTAGAGCAATTTTGATGACTTGAACAGCTTACTTTCTTTTCTTACTTTGAAAAAAGACAACGACCCAATATGAGCAAGCATTTGGCGACAGTGGGAAAGAAAAACTCCCTTTTAAGAGGAAGAAACTTCAGGGAAGAGCAGCCATCTGCTGCAACCGGTTTCATCAAAATGAAAAATAAAATTCACTCATGGAAAAAATCCAAAATATGTGGATTCAAGGAACCTTTAAATTTTTTTTTCTTAAAGGTAGAAGTCATGCCTTCATCATTTTTTTCTGTCTGTGTCTATGTTTGTTTGCTTCTTTAGTGGTTCTGGTGGAGCGAAGCAGCCGGCTGTGCGCTTCAGGCGGAACAAACATCACAAGGGCTCAATCTACTGCGTCGCCTGGAGCCACTGTGGACAGCTTTTGGCCACTGGCTCCAATGATAAATATGTCAAAGTCTTGCCTTTCAATGCAGACACCTGCAATGCCACAGGTACACACAATAAGGAAAATATTAGGATAATATTAGAAAAATAAGTTTAAGCTGATGCAGAAAACTTCTCATGTTTCTTCTGTTGCTAAACTGCTTGGAAACATCTGTATCTTTACCCAAACGTACTCCTGTGATTCAGGCCCAGACCTGGAGTTTAGCATGCATGACGGCACTATTAGAGATTTGGCTTTTATGGAAGGTCCTGAAAGTGGAGGATCTATTTTGATCAGTGCTGGAGCCGGGGACTGCAACATCTACACTACTGACTGTCAGAGAGGACAGGGCCTTCATGCCCTGAGCGGACACACCGGTATGTCCCCGTTTACCTGCAGCTTGGTCTAAGCAAACTCTGGATAGGGGTTTTCAAAGTGTGGTCCTCAGTAGCGTTTTATGGTATTGTCTGCTTCATTCATCCACTGTAGGTTCTTTGAAACACAAATTTAGCATGAGTACCAACATTTATCGCATTTATTGCAAAGTTGTTGAAAAGAGTTGTTGTGAATAGAGCTCAGATATTATGTGCTGTTTTGAACAGGTCACATTCTGACTCTGTACACATGGGGAGGGTGGATGATTGCTTCAGGCTCACAGGACAAAACTGTCCGCTTCTGGGACCTGCGGGTGCCCAGCTGTGTTCGGGTGGTGGGCACAACTTTGCATGGCACAGGTGAGTCATACTGAAACTTGCTACTTTGTTTGATTGGAAATGCTTTTTTACCACACTGCTACAGGTTAGAGTGGTTTTACAGGAAGACACTTACACTTTTATGAAGAGCACGACTTCCATAAATTAGAAAGGAAAAAAGAGAAATTAAAGACAGAAATCAACTGAAGCTTCAGGGCAAGTCAAAAAATATTTGAAAGCTACAGTTAGTTATTTTCTGAGGATATTTAAGATAAAAAAATATATATATACTAAGATATACATGATTTTGTATGTAATTACATCAGTATACATTTATTACATTCTCAGAAACTTAGAACTAATCCAGTAAAAATAGAAATATGGGGAGGAGGCACCAGTTTTTTTAAATGTTGGCCATGTTGCCCAGCTATCTTGAACACAGTGGATGAGATGGACATTGTTGCTCTGCCTGGTCTTGGTTTTTTATGTATGTGGCTAGAGACCAACCATATATGTTGTTAATCGCAAATAGCTCTTTCACACT